AAGGATGGTTTCATCGATGGACAAGGCTGGGATGACTGGGTTGCTAAGTTTGAGGTTCTCTTAGGTGTGCCATGCGGTGACAGAGGTTGTTGGTTGTCTGGAGTGTTACCACATGGCAGTCTGAGGAATGACGACAGAAGGCTGAAATTCTGGGCTAAGGACTACTGGCAAGAGTCAACTGCTGCTATATAAGAGAGGGCTTCAAGCTGTTAGGAAGCTTCTTCAGGTGTCGAGGTTGTTGTAATTCCAATGACCAAGATGTCCTCATCCCCCTCCACTGTTGCACTTGCACAGTCTGAGGGGCTAACAAGCTGGCCCCCCACTTGTCCTCTGCCTTTGCAGTTGGATGGGGGCCTTCATGCCCAGAGGTTTTGACCCATGCAAGACATGGGCTGGCCTCTGAGTCCAAGTGCTCCAGCTTTGCTGGTGTTGGGGGGCCATTTTTTCTTCTCACTTTTTTTGTAAAAAATTATTGTCTTTAGCTTTAAGTCATGTCTTTTTTTTCTATTTTTTGTTAGAAGGGCAAACCTTTGAGTTTTTTTGCATTTTACCCATTTGTAAGGGGAAACCCTTGATTTTTTTTTCTGTAAATCACTGACTTTAATATACTTGGATTCTACACTTTTTCACTCAATTGTTTGCATTAGTTTTTTTACCTTATATTTTATGGGGTATCAGAATTTTACAAGTCAGCTTTTACAGTGGAAAAGCCTTGTAATTTTGATGCCTTGCAATAGTGGTGGGAATTACAGATGGGATGAATTTTACAAGGGTTCTTGAACAAGGCTGCCAATGTAATTAGGAGCCTTGCAAATAAACCCTTGGAAAATGACTGCCCCCAAACCCGGTCAAAGAAACTTACTCAGCTGTATTTTCACACCTGGTAACCCATCACCGCAAATGAATGGGTCATCCTGTATTTGTTGAAAAATACAGGGTATGAAGCGTTCAAGGCTTAACCCATTGCAAAAAATGGTTAGGGCAAATACATGCAGCAGGCATGAGCAAGAATTTTCCTAGGCTTTCAGGATCATTTTGCACCTGATCGGCCATCTCCATCTCCCTCATTCATCCCACCTCGGCGCACACAGACTGTCCATCAATCATGAGCTTCCTTCATTCCTCCAATGAGGACAATACCAGTGTGGATTACTCCTCTGAATCCGCTTATTCCAAAGATATTGAAACCCCACTCCCAGTGATCTCGAACTCCACCAGGTTATCTCGTGGGAAGCCAACGGCAACTGCCGAGACAACGGTGACGATTCCGTCAGAACATAATAACAAGTCGTTCTTTTTGCCGACAATGAATGAAGAGACCTTCATCGATCACGGTTGCACTTTGGACCCGGAAGGCTATCCTCTACTCCCAAATGGCAACACTATCTTTGTCAAACCCAGTGGGATCAAGGTCACGAACTTCGGAAATGTTGGCTTTACCAAACGTACCGGCTCGGAATACCGGTCTAAGGGAACTTGGAAGCTCACTCGCATTTACTGTCTTGGCTCGCTTGCGTGTGACTTACCTCAATGTAGGTGGGCAGGCGCACCACCAACTGGTCGTGTTGTCATGTCGGAGTATCTCCAAAGGTGTGTCCTCACCAATTGGCTTATGTACATCTATTATTGTTGGCTCATCGGCTTGGTTCAGGTACCCTCATTGCCGAGGCTCTGCCGGAAAATGTCCTGGCAATATCCGACACCACATGTGTAAGAACACCCTGATCCGAGTGGACGAGCATGTTCCAACAGGATGGGCAATCTTGAGGCACAAAGGCCAGCATGAACATCCCTGGCCGGAGGTCAAAAAACCGGATAAACTGGCCAAGGAGGCCCTCAAGAACAAAATCTTGAAGAACCCCAAGGCGGGGGCACTATCGCTTAAGGTGTGTGCCCAGTTGCGTCAATTTCAACTGTGTTACCACAGTAATAACTGATGTAGTGGACTACAGCTGGGCAAACCAATTGCGCCTCGAGATCCGTACGATAGCGTCATGTCAATACACCCTGCTTTGCGTAATGCCGACCGCCTCAGATACTACCGGAAACTGATGCTGCGAGAGATGAACATAACACCGGAGAAGCTGGGGGCAGGCGTTGGCGATAAGTTCATCAATGACATGTTCATGTGGAACAAGTTAAGCGATGTGATTACCTCCAACTTGATGATAATCTTGGTTGACTGACAAAAGAAGTGTAATCCTTAGGCGCGGCCTCCAGATCACCTCAGCATCATTCCTTGATGGTTCCGAGCATTTCACATTCCAAACGGAATGGATGGCCAAACGGTTGTTGGCTCGCGATTTGGATAACTGTGTGTACAGTGGGGGCTTGGTCTCCGACGTCACTTATCGGTTTTTTGAGAATGGATACCTGTTGTCCACCTCAATGTATGTAGAAGAAATCACCCGATGGGTTCCTGTGCAACTAACTTGGATTCGAGGCCTGTCGGCTGGCTACTACCGAATTCATTTTGCGACATTGTTCCGTCAGTTTTTGAAGCCAGAGATCACGGAGGTTGAGCGCGACATCCTTGTTCGGAATATTGTTGACTTTTCCCTTGCGCAAAGGGAAGGTTTTATCGAAGCCTATGGCGAGGTGTTTGGTATCTTTGACCGGGCACAGGTGCTTGGGAAGCTTCAGGGATGTCACCAGCATTATCGTGCGCAGGTGACTCGTGTTAGGGTCAACAGAAATGTGATAATGGCCGGTGACGAGGTGAGATTGAGATTCACTTGTTTCTGTTGTTCTACATGGTCTTATTACTCATCGAATCCTTCAAATCTTAGGTGATCTTCCAGCAGATGTGCATGGACTTGATCAAGGAACCCCAGGCCGGCGATCCAACCCATGAGGACAAGATTGATGCCCTCCGACGCAAATTCCCTAAGGCCAAACGGTGGATTGACTGGTGGACCATGGCGGATGTGGAATCGATGCTTTTTCCATCTCGTCGCCCTCAGGATGAAGATGCCCCCGAAGGGGTCAATCCTCTTCCGAAAACTTCGAATGCACAGGAGAGTTTGCACCGACTGTACTACATGATTAGGTGTGTACTGAACTCCTTTCGACTCTCACGGATGAGGCTTATACCTTCCTTTATGTGTACATAGTCCGGGGAAAACCAGCCTCCTTGTTGGCATGGTGCAGCTTTTCTCCTTTGTTAAGGTCTTGGAGGAAGAATTTGATGCTGTAATGTGTGGGGTGTCAATCAAATACGGCTCCCAACGCAAAGGAGAGACTGATGTGGCTCAATCTATTGGATGGGAGAAGTCTCGCAAGCGGGCTCCAAAGGCGGTCCCGCTGGGACCTGGAAAGAAGATCCGGCATGAATACGCCAACGATGGGCGAGCACCCGATACGACAAAGGCCCTCCTCCCCGAGATCATCAAGAAGAAGCTGGGACGACCTTCAGGAGCGCCAAACATCAACAGCTATCCCTCATATCATGCGTCTAAGAAGGAGCATCTCAAGAATCGATGCTGGATGGCTGCCTCAGTCGAAAGCCTGTATTCGGTATTCTCTCCCGTTTGGCTTCAAGGATCCGGTGGCTGTGGGACATCACTGTTCACAACGCTGGTGAAACATTTCATGGCCAGGGCTACATACGAGTTAACGGAGGCTGGATCAATTCGCTCGATTCTCTCAAAGGCTCAATGCACTCTCTTCCATCTTGTCAGTGCGCAGCATCCCAGAAACTTTGTTGCTGGAAAGTTTGCCTCAGCAGACTTCTTCATGGATGTCATACTCGATCAAAATGCAAACCCTAACCGGGCCTTGAAGGGGTTGTTTGAAGTTGAAGAGGTCCGACAACTCACCTGCAAGCATCACACCCAAGCCGCTCATGAAATACGACGCCCATCGCATGTCATCAACATCCGAAGGAGGGCATTTGAATCTAACAATCTCGAATTCTCGGATGTTTCTTCATTCTTGAGGGAGTGGACTGGATCAGGCTTGGACGGGTGGTCGGGCCTTTGTTGTAAACTGTGTAACAGTTCTCGTCCGGCTTCTGAGATCCCAACGTATGGCTGTGCATCATCAGATGTCGAAGTGGCCATAGCGACTCTGGTGTCAACTCGTAAGACTCCCATGCTGCAGGAGAGGTCATGTCTGGCTTTTATCGATAACCAGCCACCTTCACACCTCTACTTTCATCTGGATGTCACACCAATCCTGGACGAAGATGAACAACAATCCTTCATGGCGGAGACCGATTGGCCTTTCACTCTCAAAATCCGACATGTCAGGTACAATTTATTTGCCCGCGGGTTTTGGGACGGGTCACACTATTGGTGCAAGGTGGTCAGGCATGTTCGTGGGAGAACAGGTGTTTGGTTACACAATGACCGACTGAACGACGGCTACGCTCAGCTGGTCAGCCCAATTCCGAGTGATCTGGGGGGAAAGGCAGCTCATACAAGCTGGCTGATCTACTCTCGCCCGTGGAATGATAACGAGTTAGAGTTTGTCAACGATAAGATCACACAGATCAAGAAGGACAATCCCCGAGCGACTGGGCAGGTGCCGTTTGCAAAGCTCAAGGAGTTATTGGAGGTATACAAGGATCTTGACCTGCGTATGGTCAAACCAGACACTGACAATGTGGTGGGGGATGAATTCTCCGACAACAACAAGGCCGGCGACAACAAGGCAGACGACAACGGGGCCGACGACAACAAGGTTCCCAATTGTAATGAGACTACAGGTAAGTTTTCTCAAGCATCTAATGTGTAAATTTGGCTGGAGCCTGGATCATAACATCTTTGAACGGGAAACTACCTGAAAATAGATGATGAGGACATCAAAGCCGACCGAATCCAGCCAGCGCCTTCAGTTGCGATGCCGGCTCCGAAAATCCCAAAAATTAAGCTTACCCTGGGCAAATCAGGGGGGATTGAGGTGCCTGTCCTGGTGGAGGCTGTCAAAGAGGTCAAGGCCAAGATCAAAAAGCCTAAGGGGTCCAATAAGGCGGCGCCGCAGGGGGGAAATCGTCGGAGCAAAAGGGTTGAAGCTAAGGGAGGGGACTTGTCATGATTTATCTGCGTTTGGATGCATCCTGTGATGCATTTTGTCACAATTTCGCTGCTTTTGTATGCATCCTGTGATGCCTTGTAAGGTGGGAAGATGCGGAGTAAAATTATAATTGCCCCGGCCACAGTGGTCATTTTACTACTCTTGGTGGTTCCCTGCGCTGCATTGTAAGATGGAGCCTCGTGAAATTTCCCAAGAAGTGAGTACATGTCATTTTTGCATGGATTTTTCTTTACACCGCATAAGCCTTGTGGAAAATGGCTGGCGAGATTCTAAAAAGTAAGGATGGGACAGCTGTTTTACTTGGGTTTAATTACAAGGGCTTAGATTACAAGGCACCATGAGTAAGATATCCCCTGTAAATTTGTGGCCCCAAGGGGGGAAATGGGTTTTTACAAGGGTAATCGGTTGAGAGGCTTAAGCCTTGCAAAATAAAACATGTAAAAATCTATATCCCCATATTTTATGCTTTTTTGAAATTTTAAAGTTGTTTCCTACATTTCAAAGTGTTTAGAATTTAATGGTAACACTAGAGATCAAGGCGGCTGCGCCGCTGTCCTTTGATGTGTACAATTAAATTCATCCCACAACCTAGAAAGACAGTGGCCAATAAAATTCCACAAATTCCATTCTTTCTTTTTCCCAGAGCTTCCACTCAACCAAACTTGTTATCAAAGTTACTGAAAAAAATAAAAATAAAATGTTTTTCGGTCTTTTGAAACCTTAACTTTTGTTTTTATTTTGGGTACCTATTCTGCACCATTTTATCAAGGCTCATAAATTTTAATTCGTGGTTTGATGCTCTGTCATCAAAAATAAGCAGCCAAAATAATGGTTCACCCACTGTACATTCCAACAAATGAAAAAAACTTCAAAAGAGGGCATTTTTTGGATGCAAAAGAAAGATAAGACAAAATGAGGTAAGATCAGGATGAGAAAAAATATCAGACAGATTAATGATTGGGATCAATCCATATCCCTATTTTCATGCACATTTTGGAAAGAATACAAGCTGGAATCACATCGTAGTTCAGCTTAGCTTCCCAACCTATCAAGATGCGGTGACTGGAGCCTCTTTCCAGCATTGGTGGTTTTCATACCCTACAAACAATTTTTTGGCCAAATTACTTCCCAGCCAACATACCTGTTTGCAGGATTCTGTGCACAAGCGCTGCCAACACACAGGCAGGAAGACTGTTGTTGCATCAGCGGGTTGAATGATTGCATGCCCGTGAGAGCCCCCTCGAGGCTCGGAGCACCATGTGGGGTGAACACTTGCGCGGGAAGATAGTCCCCCTTGCCAAGCAGTCACCGCCCCTATGAATTGAAGAGAGAACCTGCACAATAAACAGACGTGGTAGCTCTTCTGGGCTCCTTGGACAAGAATCTCTCACAATGAGGCAATAGAATAGCTGTTTGCTGGGGAGCGAGCCCCTACAACAAGCAGACACTGCATCTGCTTGCCAAAGGTGATCGGCACTGATCCCTAGCTCGGAAAACATGTGAACGATGTCGAATAAGGGGGTATCTAAAGTAGCCATTGCGAGGGGGTGAATGGGTCGTGATGGTGCTTGTTGTCGCTCAAGTGATTCATGATCATTGAAGGGGTGTTGGATCCTAGGTGATGGTGATGATGATGAATGGGCCCTACTGTCTGCTGGTGTGTTCCTGCACATGCCAGCCAACAGGATTTGGACCCTGTGGATCTCTGGCGTGTGCAGGGACACGCCAGGATTCGCAAGGAATGTGCAGGGACACGCCAGGATCCGCAAGGAATGTGCGCCCACACGCCAAAAAAAATGGAAAACGCTGTAAGACTCAAAAGTGGTTGTGAAACCCTTTTGCTGAATGGAGAAGGGGATGATGGAGTTGCAAGCTCTGCCCTTCTATGCTATCAGAACAACAAGACCACCAAGCTCAGCTTGGCAGTTTATATATCGTGATAGAGGATAGTTCGAGATGAAGCTGTCGAATGATTCGTATAACGGTTAAAGGTGTTTATGGTGATTGTTGATGATAATGTTGTTGTTGATGAAGTTGTTGATAGAGGTGTCAATGATTGTTGTCGAGGTTGAGGCTTGAACGCAGGTCCTTGAGGTTGATGGTATATAAAGTTAAAAAGAGTGATTGAGAACCAAGGCGCAGTTGATGGGAGAGCTATGCTTCAACCAGGAATGGAACGGAGGACCAGAACAGGTGGAGATAAGGTGGAGATAAGGTGGAGATAAGGTGGAGATAAGGTGGAGATAAGGTGGAGATAAGGTGGAGATAAGGTGGAGTTAAGGTGGAGTTAAGGTGGTGTTAAGGTGGATGTCTTGAATGGGAATTGAACCCAGGTCCTTGTGGTTGGGGTGTATGAAGCCAAAAAGCAGTGGATTCAGGCAAAGGTGAGAT